CCTTGGATGTGCTGCACCAGTCAGCCAAAGACCAAGACCCTGCTAAGCTTCTCATTATTTTAAGGATTCCCTTTTACATGGGGAAGTTACCTAGCCAGTCCCTCCCAGTTAGGGAGGTCATATGACTTATTAAGACCAAACACTGTTAAGACTTAAATGACAAAAATTATTTGCCCAGACATTGAGGCACCCCAGTACTGGAAACATGCTTGATGGCATTTCTTTGCACATTTAAAACCATAAAGTATTCGATACGTCTTTTACACACAAGAATGATTCACACAGCAAAATAAGATAAACAGAGCCAGTGAATTATGACATGAAGATTGACAGATTACGTGAGGCAATTGTCCAAAGCATCTTTGAATTATGCATATGTGTGTCCATAAATCCGTTTCATAAAGCATGGAGGAGGAATCCATCACAGGATATAGAGTGCTACATAGTCCTGTATTTTGCTTCAGGATATAGAGTGTTTCAGTTCCCTAGATCAAGGGTGGACAATAATTTTTAATGGGAGCCACTCCAAGATTTTGGCTGCAGTTCTATGTGGGGGAAAGGGTCTGGGATGGAGGTTGGGTGCAGAAGGGAGCATGGGCTAGGGGACTGGGGTGTAGGAAGGGGTGCTGGGTCAGAGAGGGAGTTTGGGTGAAGGAGGGGGGTTTGATCGGGGTCAGGAGCTTGGGAAGTCGTGTCCAAGAGGGGGTAAGCGTGCAGGAGAAGATTCTGGCCTGGGGGACGGAGTATAAGAGGGGGAGAGAGTTGTGAGCTGGGATGAGGGGGGAAACAGGTACAGAGGGTTTTGGTCATGGCCTGGGGCACGCAGTTGGGTGACAGAGGAGGTGAAGTACCAGAGTCAGGCTCTGGGTGAGAGGCGCTTAACTAGGAGGCTAACAGCCAGCAGCCCTGCAGGAACCTAAGGCAGGATCTCTTTCGCTCTCTCTGCTGAAGTCTCAGTCGGCTTGCTGCTTTGCATAGGTCTCCTCTGGGCATGGGGGAGGGGCGGGCAGGGGAGGGGCTTCATACACTGCCCCTGCTCCCAGCAAAATTTCTCCGCTCCTATTGGCAGGAAACTGGCCAATGGGAGCTGAGAGATTTTGCTAGGGGGCAGGAGCAGCATGCTTTGACCCCCTCAGAGAACTCTAGTAGATTAGTAAGGCATGATTTCCTTTTACAGAAACCATGTTGACTTTTCCCCAAATTACGTTAATCTATGTGTCTGATCATTTTATTCTTTACTATAGTTTCAAATAAGTTACCCAGAACAGACCAGTAAGTCTAATGTCAGTAATTGCCAGGATCACGTCTAGGGCCCTTTTAAAATATTGGCCTCACATTAGATATCTTGTAGTCATTAGGTATAGAAGCTGATTTAAAGGATAAAGTACAAACCAGAGCTAATAGTTCCGCAATTTTACATTTGAGTTCTTTCAGAACTCTTTGGTGAATGTCAACTGGGCCCAGAGACTTGTTACTGTTAAGTTTGTCAATTTGTTCCAAAACTTCCTGTAATTACACTTCAATTTGTCACCTAAAAAACGACCTAGGTTTGGAAATCTCCCTAACATCCTGTGGAGAAAGCTTCTTTTAAGATTTCTTTGTGGACTACAGCAGGCTGATAAAGATGTGAGATATAAAGACATTACAAATGTGAGTATTTGTTGTTCCATTTTTATTTGGTTCACTTTTAAAAGTACGTCTGAGAATTCTAGGTGTCTTCACTATCCTTTGTTAGCAACTTGGCAGGTATAGGAGGTAAAGATGCCTCTTTGCGTTTCTACCATTACGGCACATTTTGACAACAAATGGAGGATTTTGCTGTGCCAGTGCTTCAATAGTGATTGGAGGCACTTGACAGGAGGCCCGGATATGCTGGCTGCTGTGACCCTGAATGGCTGTAAACAGAGATACGCCAATTGTTGATCTTGAGGCTGTGAGAACTGCCTTGGCTGGCACCTATATTGATACGAACACACACTCATCCAGGGGGAGGAATCTCCCACCCAGTAAAGAATGCCCAGTACTTACAATTTAGTTCTCTCTCTTGCAAGTGTAAATTAAGTTGAAACTCCCTTGTAAGAGCTGGCGTCACAAAGACGGACCAACACAATTTGGCATCTTAGATAAGAAAGAGGATACGGGCCCCTATGGGTATAAAAGTAGGTCTAGCAGCACACTTACTCTGAGCGTCCATCTACCATCTATCTGCTGGTCGGGTTAGGTGATTGGCCTCCCGAGGTTCCATGGGGACACCCACCTCGTATTCGTCTTTCCTAGGAATTGAGGGACCGGCCCTGGCCTGATACGCTGGCGTTGAGAGGCACAGAAGGGGGTAAAAATTGTACCTGGATGTGTCCTTTGTCTTAAGTGTACACATAGATTTAGAGCTCTTTAAAGATTAAGCTGTCACTTGGTACCATTATTTCTATTTTCTATCTTTATTTTCTTTGTAACCATTTTTAAGATCTATATTTGCAAGTAGTTAAGAAATAGAGCAATAGCCATTGTAACCATATGATTTATAAGCATTTTTTTAAATAAACCTGTAACTGTTTAAGCTTTAACCTGACTCCTTCAGTTGCTGTAACAGAACCAAGCACAATTTAAAAGAACTCCAGCCAGTCATAGGGAGCAGATACAGGCAGAACTGGGCATTTGGATCGTGTCGCTTCCAGAGGACAGATCCATGGGGCATCTCTCAGCGTTCCCTATGCTGCCCACTGCAAAGGGATCCTGTATCCTAGCAGTCAAAGTCTGAGATGTAATAAGCGCTCTCTGTAAACTCTGGGGCATCTATCAGCCTGTTGGCTGCCCGCCACGAAGGGACCATGGTCCTAGCGGTCAAAGAAACGGACGTTAAACTTCTCGGGGCGCCCGTCAGCTTCCCTAGGCTGCCCACTGTGACGGGACCTTGTG